GATTACTTTGATATCCTCTTTTGATTTTTAGTGTGGTTGCTGAAGTATCCATCTTCAACTTTTTATTTCCCTTTATCATTAAGACAGTCCATGTTCAACTTAAGTATAGTAGGGGATGCTCTTTCCCAGTCACACTTTTAGAATGTAGGTCATGGATGTAAACTGGGTAGTTTTTTCATTCCTAGTTACTTCATCACATATGCAAGATGCTGATATCTACAGTGCTTTATGGACTTGTCATAATAAGAAAATATATTGTAGGGAATCTTTATGCATGAAGGTAATGACTCTTCTTTAAGTATAACAGATTCTTATGCATTCAAACTCTTTCTCTACCCTTGTTTACCATCAAATAATATTTCAATGCTGCAACATATTTACTTCCAAGTTGTGTTGGGGGGGGGGCCTGGGGACAATCCAACTCACGTTGAATAGGAGCTCAATCTGATAATTTGTGGACTTTGAGTTAAGGCATTCCAACTTGAAATGTATGGAGAGCACACATTATTGTTTCTCAAACTACTTATGGAAACAGGATTCATGTATTGCCGTGTCATTTTCTGTATGCAGCCTTCGTGATCAATATCTTTTTGCTTTATGACTTTCTATTCATTGAGCTAATATTCTCACTTATGTGCACTAACTTCAGAAATTTTTTCATTTTGCTAACCTGAAGGATCAAGATACACATTGACCTCAATTTTTTTCTTGAATCAGTCAAATGACCTCCAAAAGTAAAACATTGACTATGAAAATAAGCATCATGATACACCTTTTTGGATCATCATTCCTGAAAGGTCACTTTGATGATGCTAGAGAAAAAGAGCAAAGTTGATATTACTCCAATTCAAAGTGAAAGATGGACGTACTTTGTTCTTTGCTACAAGTATAGCAAGTTGCATTTTGGATCCAGAGAAAAACCGGTTGCTTCATGGCAGAAAAATTCCAATTCAGACTTGCTTTGGTGGGGCTGATGCCATCAATCAAGGGGACTTGTGGAATAGATGTATCTCAATAACCATATGTGCAATAGCTGCACATTTTCTCTTAATGACCACTGTTATATTTGCAGTGGAATAACAGACTAAACAAAAAGGCCCTGGATCTGAAATTGTAAGAAACATTAAAAATTTGTTATTCAGTGTTTGACATTGATGAAGAAAAAAATCAGTGTGATGTGGTGTGGACGCTATTTTCTTGGTTGAAACATGTCCTCCCTGGACTTGAGTTGCATATACTTTTGCTCTCTGTGTCTTGGTCTCTATCTCTATCTCTGTCTGTCTGTCTGTCTATTTGTCTATCTCTCACACACTCTCTCTCTGTCCTTAATTCTTTCTTGATCTTCAGGAATTGTTTGACTTGCATTCTAACTACATTGTCCTCATGTTTATTCTCTTGTTGATTCTATCTGTTGGCTGCCTTAAGAAATCTTATTTCGGCATGACAAATCTTTACCTATTCTCATCTCCTGTGTCTCATAACCAAGTCTATGAAGAGTAAGGAATTTATTTTGAAATTCAATTTTTTCAATGTAAGTGAAATGTGAATTGCTTCCGTCTATTTTTTTGTTTTGGAAAAACTGTATGTTGGATTTTGGTAGGGATCTTTACTAAAGATCCTTTCTTATTTAGTGTGGTTGACACAAGTATCATGAGACAAATGGTAATGTATTATTTTGCTGAAAGTACTGCATTTGCTAAGCAGGAGCATAGCCTGATCAGGTTGGGAGCTGCTGTTCACCTACTTTTTATTTTGGACCATGCACTTTCTGTTAATACTTCCTTGCAAATTCAGTAGTCAAATTGTTAGATAATTATGTGATGAATTCACCTTACATTTACATAAGTCCATTCCCCTTTCCTTTTTTCTTTGTCTTTAACCATGCAACTCTTGGATTGCTCATTGAAATGTTTGCTGCTTCTCATTTTGTTTCTTCTGCTATTCAATAGTTTACAAAAATTTAACCTAATTCTGCAGTGGTCCACGGGCAATCTCGTTTGTAAATTCGGCATCAGAAAAATTAGGAGGAGCCAGAGTAGCTGCAACTGCTGTTGTTTCAGATGATGTGTTGCAGATCAAGGATACTTTGCTGTCTTGGAGTGATGTTGAGAAGATGGATCTCATTCTGACTCTTGGTAAGTGGATGAATAAACAGTTCGTAGTAGGGATTGTCAATTTTGTGATCCTTTATGTTGTCATTATATGCATATGAATCTAATTTACTTTACTCAACTAGTTATTGTGATACGGATATATAGGCCATATTCTTCCACATTTTTTCCCCTAAGTAAGTTGTCAGTCACGTAACCTTTAGATGTCATTTGTTAAGTAACAAAATTACTAGCATTTTTGTACACTTATCAAGTTTTTAGAGTAATGATTGTTGTTTTGTACTTTAGATTTGTTCATCAACAGGGTGATCCTGCATGTTTTTCGCTCCTTTTAAATTTGCATATTTGAATTTCACTCAAACCTTGCTCAAGTCAAAGTAAGGCATTTGATTTGATATGTGAAGTATGTTTGTTTTGTTTCCTCTCTCTCTCTCTCTTCTCCTCCCCCTCCCCCCGCGCAATCTCTCCCTTTAATTTCCTGCAATGCCACATCTACAATTAGGTGGTACTGGTTTCACTCCAAGAGATGTCACTCCTGAAGCCACAAAAGTTGTGATTGAGAAAGAGACACCTGGTCTTCTGTATGTCATGATGCAAGAGAGTCTGAAGGTACAAATTGCTTTGTATTTTAATCTTCTGGACTTGTTAATTTTCTGAGTGTTGAATAGTTGAAGAGGTAAATCATCTAACGTGGTCAATGTCAGAATTGGATTAATTCTAATTTTTGTGCTTGCCATGAAATACCACCATGCAACCTCAGCTAGCCATGTCAATTTTCTATGTACTGAGTTATCTGTAGAAAATTTGTTTTGACTAATTATGTCTTAGAAAATGGAAATTGGATGCATCTTGTTAGAGTGGATTGTACATTTATCTTTCTTCTCGTGCTTGGAGAAATCTTTTCTTACTAGATCTGCTTTTGTTAATTGGTCATTATATTTTGAGAATGAGTGATATGATGATCTAATTGTAAGCAGGTGACACCATTTGCAATGCTTTCACGCTCTGCAGCTGGGATTAGAGGAACAACTTTGGTAAGCTAGAATCTGTGTATATTTGAACTGTGAGATTAGTAAGCAGATTACTGTCTCCTTGTTTGTGAGCATTAGGTAAACAACAGAAACATAAATATGTCGCCTTTTATGATAGGATCCACGAAATAAACCCTCCCTCCCTCTCTGTCTATCTCGAGCAGGATATCAAGCTCCATTAACTTTGTACTGATGAGAAAACTGAAAACCTCACTTCTTGGAGGAGCTATATGGCCACAAGGAAATCCACTACTGCATTAATGACAATTTAAGTTAATGATAGAAGTTTAAGTATGTGGAGCAAATGAGCATACCGGGATTGGATTTTTTTGAAGAGGAATTTTTTGGAGATGGCCTGTGGGAGATCCTCCCAGGAGTAGGTTTTTTCTAGCTTATGGGAAAGGTTTCATGGGCAATAGAATGTCTATATCTTTTATATCTTGATTAAAGAAGCGGATACAGTTATTTGTTATTTAATCAAGCAAAAGATATCTATTTGGCTGTTTCATATATCTAAACTGCAGCAAACTTTCCCAACTCATATGGAAATAGAGAATTCTTTAGACTCAAATTAAAGATACTACTGATCGACTATGAAGTGAACAGTTGGTCTTTGGCTTGTACTTGGAGGATTTTTTTGGAGATTAACCTAGTCTCATCTCATTCTACTATGTGTTGCAGATCATTAACATGCCCGGTAACCCAAACGCGGTGGCTGAATGCATGGAGGCTTTGTTGCCTGTCCTAAAGCATGCATTGAAGCAGGTAAGGGGGGATAAGAGAGAGAAGCATCCTCTCCACGTTCCCCATGCAGAAGCTGCTCCATCAGATACATGGGAACGTAGTTTTAAGTCAGCTTCCAACAATGTTCAGCATTCTGGTTGTTCTTGTTCTCATTAGTCGTGCCATGGCAGCCCAAGTTACTCTTGTTTAAAATGCGCTGTTGAAAACTTTGGATAGGAAATTATGTGGGACGAGTTTTTTTTTTTTTTTTTTAAATACTATAGCACTTTTTTGATATGATGTATACGAGATAAAAAATGGTTGAAAAATGTGCAGATGATGCAAACAAGTCAATGTGTATAAATAAGGTGTAAATAAGGTGCAATCCAAACAATGCCAATAATATTGTACGTAAAGTCAGTAGATTTTACAGAATATCTATCTTAGGAATGAATAGATACGGTTGTTGAGTTAGCCAAAAGCAGGGGCGTTCATATTTGGGTAGAAACCAAAAAAAAAACCAATCTAAATTGGATTTCGGAATTCGGTAATTTGAATTTCGGGAAAATCAATTTATATCCAAGCTTTATATTTGGTAAAACAGTTTAGAAATGCGAATACAAAAATAACCAAAAACCGATTAGCTAAAATCAGAATTTATAATCAGTTAAAATAATTAATCGAAAACAAGCCCTTAATTTATCCATGAATTAATAACCAATTAAAATAATCAATCAAGAATAAGCCCTTAATTTGTCAACAGCTAAAATTTATACTTTTTTTTAATATAAACCACAAATATTAACATACGTTTTATGATTTATAATTAATCCTATTCGAATCTAATTGGACTCTATTCAAACTAAGTCGGACCTCTTGCAGCGAAACTCTTCTAATATTGTCCTCTTTAATTTTGAATACAATACCTTCCACTTATATTGTCTAAACCCTTTTCACTTGTACTAATATCCGTTGATGCTAAACTTATGGATTATATTTTTCTGAATTTTTTATAAAAAAATTACTAAACTAATTTAATATATATGTAATAAAAAGGTGATTAAAAAATGAGTCTCGAAAAACGAAACAATTTTTGTTTGGAAATCTGCAATCCAAACATTATACTCTCCTTGCACGGACGTTAGGCAGTGGCACTCGTGCAGTCGTTAATACTCTGTCTTTGTCACTCTCGGCATTGATGCCTGGTACCCGTCATAAACTATTGAAACAAGCTTAAAGACCAAAACCCACAGTTCCAGCGGCGGCATCTGCCCACCCCTCTCCCTCCTTTCCTGGGGCAGCTGGGTTTGAAGCCTCAAATCCCTTATCCCACTGGAGGAGAGGTAGGCAGAAAGCCAGCGAAACCTCTGACGGGCAGCTTTCTTGTCTTCAGTCTTGCCATTTTTTAACAAGGTTAATCGTCAACAGCAATTGTATCTATTCCCCTGCTTCTTTTGTTTGTTTGTTTCTTTTTTTTTTTTTTCCAATTTTCCATCTGAATCTAATTCGAGAAAGTTGTTCTTTCTGGAGGTAATTATATAGGATTCTTGGTAGCAAATGTTTTTTTTTTTTTGGGACTTGTATTGAGTTTTTACCCAGTTGTTCACGAGTATCAAGGTGAAAATTGAAGTGGGATTTATGTCTTTAGTTTAATAGGCTTGTTTGTCTTCTTGTTTTACTTGATTGAGAGGACATCTATTTGACAGAAGGGATGTAGAATCCCCCATTTATTGATCCAAAAACTTTGATAGCCTAAAGGAGTGCTATTAATCTTGAGAAGTATGCAGCTTTGACATATTTCTGTTGTGCTTTCATCTTATCTGTAGATAATTTTTGAGGTCCTGCCCTCATACATGAAGCAAAGAAAAAATCTGAGGGATTCTGTACAGAAAATGAAATGGTAAATGCACATTTTTGGTGCTCGACAGTGACCTTGTATAACTGTAAAAAACATATTTTTGCACGTATAAGTAGCCCTGCTTTAGTCAGAATTCTGTCTGTTTTGTATGTTGTTTTGTATTTGTAAAAGACTGTAGTGTATTATGAATAGGAAGTTTACCTAATCTTGGTATATTGACTTTTCCGCGAACACGCATATGGTGCTTAAGTTTAAGGAATTCTTATCCTTTGTCTGTATTAGGTCTTTGTGGAATGCATTCTTTTGCCAGGATTATTAGCTCGAGTTACAAGGTGTTCTAGGTTCTTGTAGAACAATTATTTGGTCCAATCATGGCTGCATCTGCGAAAACTTTAAGCCTTGAAAAGCCTAATCCTCCTGCTGAAGACTGGAAGATAGTCTTACCTCGTCGAGGAAAACAGAAGAGGCAGTTTCGCAAAACCATTGAATCTGAACTACAGAAACCGGGGCAATCCTGGTCTCCTATAGATGATCAAAGTGATCCCGAAAGTGAATCAAAATTAATGCAGAAGATGCTGAGTTATGTCCAAAAACTTGAGAGTTCCCAGTTCTATCAAGCCTTCATAGATCAAATCCAAAGTCATGAAATGTCTGATCATTTGCACAGGGTTTCGGGGTCAGAAGAGAAATTGCAGATGGTGATATATGGTATTGGCAGCATTGAGTCATATGAACCACCTCGATTACAACTTAGCTTGGCAATATTGATGAAAAGGAAATTCACGTGGATAGGGGAAGTAGAGGTGTTTGATCCGGTTCTTTCTTTAACAGAATCAAAGGTTTTGTCAGCTTTAGGATGTTCTGTGCTATCTTTTAATGAACAGGGACGGCGACAAGCCTTAAAACCAACACTATTCTTCATGCCACACTGTGAGGCAGGATTGTATGACAATCTCCTCCAGGCGAATTGGGAAGTCAATATGTTGAACCAGATTGTATTGTTTGGAAATAGCTTTGAGGCATATGAACAATTCTTGTCAGTCTGCAAGGATCCAATTCGTGAGGAAAGACAAAGGCATATCATGGCCATCAGGAGGTTCACTAAAGAGTTTGCAATTAATGCAACATCAGATGATTATTTTCAGGCTTTCCATAGTTCTAGTTGGCATTTTTTCCGCATCAGTCATGATGAAGACTTGCAAAATTGTTAAACTATGACAACTTCACGGTGATTACTATGGACTTGCTTGATTGTCTTCACCAGTTAGCCATTGTTACACATCGTGGATAGTATTGGTCCTCAGCAATATATTGCTTTTTGGCCGTGCTACTTCTTACTCATCTTTTTAATTTGTATACTAACATCAATTGTTCATATTTCGGGATTGATTTCATATTTATTGACCAATTGACAAGATTTTGGAAACTTTTGTTGTAAAAAACATTCGAAGTTCAGTTTGGAGTAAAGGGTCATATTATTCTTATGGAACAATGACTAGTTGAGATCAGCATCAGAGATACTGATAATCTTATAGTGTATTTAATTTCTCTTATTTGGTGTGGTGTGCATTGATAGAAAGAAATGCACTGGTTTAGAAACGGAAATATACTGCTTGGCAGTCTCTGGAAAATTGAAGTTATCCAATCTGTCAAGAATTATGATGTATCACAGATAATTATCCCACTTGGTATGGCCAAATCTCGACTGAGTGATGGTAACTTTCTGGTCAGTCCTGACGTTGATTGCTCTTGGGATTTGTTCTACAGGGGAAGCATCTAATGAATTATCATATTGAATCAAGATAGTAGAATCATCATCTTAGGTGCCAAACTGCCGCTGCTTCAGACTTACAGGTTGAACCGTTGAACCACTGGCATCTTTAGAAGCTCTGGGAATTGATCCTCGGCTAGAACTGATTGTTCAACTCGCAATGATTAAAGTAGTTATGATGTCATAGCCTGGTAGAAATAGAAATGCAGGCATTTGTTGGATAGAAAGAGCCTGGATCCACTTTTATTTGCAGTCCATAGCTGATTTCATCCCACAGTTGATAGAAAGAGTAGGGTTAATATATTATTATTTACAGATGTTAAAAGGGGTTCATGACCCTCTAATGCAGTTCACAGGTGGAATATTCTTTTCCAAGTATAGTATAGCAAAAACAGAAATTATTTTTGCAATGCGATTTCCTATCATTACTCTCCCTTACAAAATCCAAAACCATTTAGCAAACTTATGTTACAATGTCGATTAATGAAAAAGCAAACAAATGGCATGAGAACATCAGTAGCTAAACTAGTGATATCTCATCACTGTGGACCTGGTCTCTTACAAATATCCAAGTTCAATGGCAGCCGGAGGAAGATGAACATGGTAGAATAAGATAGAGATCCATATTTTGAGCTCTAGTCCACTGGCACAACCAGCCAGTTGGGCACGTTATCAACTTTTTTGGGCCTCTACCATCATTGGTCCACTGAAAGGTTTAACACCATACAAATTGTAACAGGATCCACAGGTTGGGCACACTCCATCTTCAAAGGTAGTCCAGCCACAGGTTGAGCAGACTTCTTCATCTTCAAGGTTAGTCCCTGAAAAGCAGCAAAACATGTCAGCCTCTCCTGAACTTTCTAATCTTCAATTAGTCGTGACAGAATTGATGAGATATGTAGTCACGCCTAAGCAGAGCCACAATCCCCCACCCACAGAGACCAACAGAGAGAGAGAGAGAGAGAGAGAGAGAGAGAGCTGTAAAAACACATGTACTGAATCTAGAAACCAGGTACATGGCAGCAACTGCAATTGTTTGCATGACTTTAACCAGGTTAGATTAGATATCATTTAAATGTTCTACTATACAGCTAATATTCTCTACTCAACATCATTCAAATGTTATAAAATAGAGCAACTGTCCTCCAAAATATTCATGACTTCTTGTTAAATTCTGTGTTTCACCAGTAACTCAAAAATTTCCATTCAGAAACGTTTCCAAGAATTAACACCTGAAAGATATGCCTGTCGGAACAAGTACTATGAATCAGAAAGTTTCACTAGATCCTAATAAGAAAGTCAATTAGCATCACAAGAAGAAAACTTCATTAGTTGCAGGAAGTTGTATTAACCTAGCTACTATCAAAAATTTCTAGTTGCAGAATTTTATCATTTATAACAAGTTTTCCCAATCTATAAGTTTGGTAAGAGGCTGTTGATTGAAATAGAACAGAATTTAGTTGGGAAAATTCTCCTATCATTGGGATCCCTTTTGAAATACAAAGAAGGGAGTCAGTGAAGTATCGGTATGATTTAAAATGTATTATTCATATAATGATGTATTACTCCATTTAAATCCAATGAAATTCGAAATGAAGTTATTTTGATTTTCATTTAAATTAAATAGTTCAAAATATGTTATAGAACGATCTATTAAACAATTTATACAATTTGATTAATTAGTAATACTCTTAGAGTCTAGAACGATCTATTAAACAATTTATACAATTTGATTAATTAGTAATACTCTTAGAGTCTAGAACGATCTATTAAACAATTTATACAATTTGATTAATTAGTAATACTCTTAGAGTCTACTTCTTCCCCACACTACGAATGAAAGGGAAAATGTAAAGGCTACCATTAAAGCAACAACCCAAGCGAGACTTGGCACACCATGTGAATTATGTCCCCTTATCTCCATAAATATGAAGGAATTAGTCCTCAATAATAAATAATAAAAGTATAGTGGAATCAATCGCGCGGAGTGAATAAAAAAAGATTCTAACCAAACACTATTGATAATCCCCTTAAAATAGTTCCTTGAATCCTATCCTAGATTCAAGAATTTACAATCTTTAAAAAAAAATCCACTTCAAAAAACACCACTTGAATACTTTGAATCAAACAAGCATTAACAAATACACTCTTCCTCTGCTTTGAATGGAAAATAATTCGGTAAGTTATATTAGTAGAACAGAAGAAAAGATTTCAAGTTTTTTGTTGATCCGGTGACACACCGATTTGAAATAGGGAGAGGGTTTTGCAACCCTTGTCTTACAACTGGGCCATGTCGCCCAAATGATACAAATTTGGTGAAATTTGTCCTATATTACATAACTATTTTGTCTTTTTATTTCTATTGTTCTTGTATCTTGACTTCTATTTTTCTTAATACTTTTCTTTCCTAAAATAAATTTTTATTTCAATTGGAGTTGATCCGTCCTTATCTTGTCCATTATATAGTATCTCAAAATGGTCAACTTCTCCACTTTCTCTTATAAATCAATGTAGATTTTCATTTGCAAAAATAAAAATTTAGGACAAATTTGAACCATTAACTATTGACTACTGACTGCATATTCATGAATGGTTTGGATCTCAAAATTTGACATTTTCTTTTTTGTGTCTAATGACACAAAAAGAAAACAAATTGATACATCAATATTGAGTTAAAAATCTCTCTCCATCTCAATTGTAATAACAATTATGAATATCCGTAAACCTCCGAGCAAAAACTGTTACACATATGTCTATTATCTTATTTAGATATGTTAAATCTTGGCTAGAAGGAATTTCAGAAAATTTTCATGTCTCCATTTTATTTTGAATTGAACAAAAAATGAAAATTTTCTATTTTAATAGAGCACAACCCACTTTGTGTTGCCTCTCCAAAAAAGGAATGGCAATACAATAAAAAAGAGGGATATTAATATCTGCATACATGTTAAACAAGTATAACTCCCCTTATCTTTATATGAGAAATTTCACGTATGTAATATCATAATAATGGTAGAAATTGAATCATTTTTTTATTTTGACATTCCATACAAATTTCGATAATTTAGTAAGTATAAAGTTTAAGTTTTAAGTGACAAAATTTTTCCTAAGTATGTTTTATAAATTCCCTTCCATTTGTATCCCTTACAAATTTCAGTAAAAAAAAGCCAAATTTAAATTTAAGCAAAAAACTATTTTTATTTCTATGTCCATATGTTTGTCATATGACGTGCGCTGGGCATACATATACAATTTGACTCATTCACAATCAAGTTTTATATTTATAAATCCTAAATACCCCACAAGCGATTTTTCTCAAGTATACGAATCGTTTATTGAGCATAGGAGTATTAGGTATCGATCTCACAGGGAAAATTTCAATTACCGGTACTTTTCGAATTCCTTTATTTTCTAGACTACCATAAACATAAATGTAATGAAAATAACACTAGAAAGCTCCTAAAGATATGAAATTCCTTATTACTCTTGCAAATGAGATTACCGGTTAAGTGAATGCTATTATCTTGGATAGTTATGGCGTAATTTCCTAATATACGTGAAACCTACACTGTAGTGAATCACCTATACTTGTAGCTAAACCATACCTACTATCGTGGTTATGAAATTAACTACAAGTTCATTTCTTCTATGAAATTATATGAAACAAGTCACTAAAATCACATAGGTGCTCCTCTACTCTCGTGAGTGAACTCCCTAGGTTTATCACTTTCTTAAACTAGTGTTAAATTTCAATTCTCATTGCAACCTTAACACCTTTAGATGATCACAATTAATGGCCGGTTAATCATGATTAGAAAAGCAAAAGTGATAAATAACTTGTTCAAAATAATATCATCATATAACCAAATAAATATCACAAACAAGATATAACAAGTTCAATCATACTCTACGCATAAACTTTAGAAACACATATTTAAATACAAATCCAAATCTTGCATTAACAAAACTTAGAGTTCAATACAAAGATAAAGATGTGGAAAGAAGAAAACCCTTGTCACTAGAGCGTCTTGAGCCTCTCATTCTTCATCTCCCTTGGCCTCCTTGTTGAGTCAATACAAGAATGAATAACACACATAACTACCTAAACTATTCCATACTATACTAACCTAACAAATGAACTAAAGAAATTCTAGTGAAAACTACATTTTTGGTGGAGTTTCTCTAGCCTTCCAAAGATGTGAAAATGTTCTCCAAAGGCCTCTATTTATAGAGAATTCAAGAGCCAAATGAGTTGTTTCTAGTTGTTATTTTTTACTTTTGAAAATTCTATGAGTTGTCTTTCTAACTTTCCAACCTGTTCTTGATCAAATACAGCCGAGATTGATAGCTGGAATTGAGATGGAAAAATTGTGTGAAAGCAGGACAAGTTGATGAGCAAGTTATAGCAATCAGGTGGGAATACGCGACTACAAGCCACGTGTTCATGAAGTCGCATTTTCACTTCTATACATTTGATATCATTTCAACACTATTTTCTCAATGATGGAGGCAGAACTAGCTCATGTGAAAAACATTAAAGTTGCAGTCCTTTGAGTTAGCTTTCCAATGCTTCAAGAATCATCTAATTAGGACCTCTGTAGACCGAGATATGACCAAATTACCATCGACTAGTCAAAGCTCTATTTCAGCTTTCGACCACGGAATTTCACTTCTGTATTTCGACATTTTGACAAGGAAAAAGACTGAACTGGACTTTGATGTCTTCATACCAAATGTAGA